GCTTTGTTTAAAGGACTTGTGTGCGTTTGTGCCCACGAGCATTTGATTCTGTTTATCGGTATGTTTGGAAGCGGTAGACTTAAACCTTTCTGGGATCAGAGTTATTTCTGGCAGTGAGATGGTGTGAAACAAAGAACTTTATAGTTTACAGATTTTAATTCTTTTTGTCTCACAAAAAAATGTTAGATTGTCAGAGCATTTTTACTGATTTTATCTAATAAGGATGTTCATATAAAATATTAGAAGGCAATAAGGGATCTAAATATAGTTTAACTTGATTTTTAAAATATTTCTGGGTTTTTATAGTTTATATATAATGGATCTGACAGAAATATTATCACAGTGCAAATTAACTAAAGTTTATAACCCTCTCAAAGTGGTAAAAATAACAGGTTAGTATAAAACTATTATTCTATATTTATATTGTTAGAAATACATTTGGAATAATCTTGTATTCAGAATTCAGATCTCACTGAAGAAGACTGTAGACTGAATTGTAGATAAATTTCATATAAATGTTTAAAAGAATTTATTTATGTTTTCTACTCAGTTTCCTAATTATATATTGCAGTGTCTTCAAGTGAACGCTAACATTTCCTTCCGTCATTGATAAATGATGTTCGCAAGAAAGAATTCAGTTTCCTTCCGAGCCAAAGTTGACGTATGATTTGTAGCATCTGAAGTGTCTCTTTAAAGAGGCGTTTCAGCTTTTTAACTATAGAGTTGGAACCTTCAAATCAGATGCTAACTTCAGTGTTTGCCACCTAAAACAGATTGTTTGTAGCCAAATATGACATATTGTCCTGAATGCGTGTTTGACGGCATTTTCTTTGTAAATGAACCCAAAAGAAACATTGTCAGGTCAAAACATTAAGAATTGTTTTCAAAAAGCACATGAATGTTATCACTAGATCACCACAACTATGTATGTATTGTGTTCTTAGATGCCAGAAATGACAGTATTATATCTCAATAGTTAAGCATTTTAAACCTGAGTCATCCTTTCCTCAAAGCATTTTTTTTTAATCTTAAAACAGGATTTCAGTCACTTCATTATAATTCAGTATGATGGGAAAAATCTAAAGCGTGTAACGTCTGAACACTTCTTGTGTGCGGCAACACAACCGTGCACTTGATGAGGTCTAAAAGGAGGTGAGAAAAGCAGATAAAGAGTTGTGAAATGAGCATAACGGGGTGCAAGTTCATCACTTCGTCTTGAACCGAGAAAGAATCTCGGCTACGTTTCGCGGTTCAGTGCAACACGACAGCCATGAAGTGCAGAGTACGGCGCATCTCTCTGCAGCAACTGAAACTGGGATTGTGTTTGCAGGTGATCTCTTGAACTGTATAAGAATCCCAAATGCAGATTCAACACCTGGCATTCATTCACGCCCTGCTAGCAGAGCCAGAAGATAGCAAAGTTCACACTTCGGCTGGAATGCAGGCTCGTTTTGCAGAATGTTACAAGTTCATTCGCCACTTAGATTGATGTCGGTGACAGTGTGGTATTATGCACTCGCAAGATTTTATCAGAGATAATGGTTTCGCCTCACTAAAAGACCAAGAGATCCTCCTCTAATATAACATGTCTTTAGATTTCCATCAAGCAGAAGTGTTTAAATAGAAATATGCTCTTGGCTGATAGCAAATTGTTTTGTTTTAGGAAAACTGGGCAGGAGAAAGTACAAAGCTGTGAAAAACTATTCGTCCCCTCAGATTTTGTTTGATGTTTAGATCATCAGACAAATTTTATCAAAGATAACCTGATTCAATTTAAAATGATTTTTAAGTTATCTTATTTAAAAGAAAAATGTATCTAAATCAAAATGGCCTCCTTCTTAAATCACCAATTGATTATAATTACCATGTTTTTGGAGAGGTGAGTTGAATTTCAGCAGTATGGTAACAGACCTGTAAAATTAAGAAGTACCTGTCTGGCAACATGAAGTAGACTAAATCAGTGTTGTTCAAAGTGGAGGCCAACAGGGGGCCTTTCCAATTTCAACAATCTAATTTTCTTTAAGTCATATTTATATAACATTTTTATAACAACTGAAGTTGACATAGCTACCACCGGAGTGTTCAATAAAATGGCAGCATGTGCCTGGAAAACACATATTACTGCCCCTTTAAAACATTATTTTACAATCTGAAAGATTTAAGCAAGACAAAAACGTTTTAAATGGAAAAGATCTCCAAAGCGACACTGAAAATCTGCTGTATCTTCATTGAATAGAAAGATGACCGCTTGAAATCAAGTTGAATCTATTCGACCTCTGCCAACTCCCTTGGTGCTGAATCAGGCTGCAGAGTCCTGGATACGTTTGGAGGAAAAGTGAAACCTGGCAGCTCATTTTGACCTCATTGAGCCGACAGCCAAACACCTCACAAACTTTCCCTCCACTTCTCCCTGACGGGCTTAATGGTGTTTCGCCACCAAGACTCCAGAATGAATGAAAGGCAGATAATGTAGGTGCAAAGGGAAATTGAATGGAGAATGATTAAAATTGAGGGGAAATGTTTAATTTTCTCAATGAGCTTTAGAAATTCTGCCTGGGCACCAACTCTGAATCTCAAGTATCCAATCAGTGTTTGAATAGCTGAACAAATTAGGAATTTTCATGTCATTTCCTGCGTGCCATCGAACGAATGATGTTTCTGCTCCATTTTTCCCAAATCATCAGAGTACAAATAAGATAAGAGTTTTAATTTGTGATAACTCTGACCTGACAATTGTTGCATTGTCTGCACTCCAAGTCATTAAACTAAACCTGACAAGTCAAACATTCAATAGAAAGAGAAGTCGATGTAATGCTGCGCAGACCTTGTTATGCATGAAACTCTTAGGTTAATGGAAGTTCTTTTTATCTTTTTTAATACACACCTTTTTGAAAGTCTAATTAATGCACTGTCACTCACTTGGTGGGGTTGGGAGGGGGACTCATGTCAGCACCACTTAGGCCTGTTCTTGTAGAAATATGTTCAATCCTCACCTAACAGTGTGGGTGGCAGATGGTAATGCATTGGTTGTCACGGAAATAGACGGTGAAAATAAAGGCGAGTAATTTAAAGTCAGCAAACGGCTCTCCTGTCAAAGACAACAGCAGCGGGAGGAAGGAGAACTAACAGAAAATTAATGAATTCAATAACTACTGTAACATGTCTGTTTTTATTCTAGTCAGCATAGTGCACAGTTGTGAAGTGAAAGAAAAAGAACACAAAATTTGTTGAAGCTAGTCACTGTACGAAAAAGTTTGGTGTGCGTTTATGTTCTCTGTGCTCTGATATCTCTAAATAAAACCCAGTACCGGTTAACAGAGAAAGTTGTCGTGGAGTTTAAAGCTAGCCTGGTAACAACCAGATCCTTGTTCTACACTTTGCTTCGTCCAGAGGGTCTGACTCTGGACCCTTGGGTTATTGAAAAACGATTGCTTGCTGGAGGCATGGACCCTGAAGTTTTAAACTTTACCCAGTCGCTGCACCAGTTCGATGCTATGAAGCTTCCCGGAAATCACCTGCGCTGTAAATGATCATCCTCCACTGCAAAGAGATAAGTGCCAAGCCAAACAAGATGGCTGTTAATGTTGATTCAATATTTGGAAGCGTGGCCAACACGCTTTGTTCACTTCCTCTGCTGCCACTGCCAAGCAGACTACGATTCTAAAACAAAATCAACATTGCTGTTCACAACGTCTTTCTGTTTGTTGATTGGCACAGTTGAATTTATACTGGAAAAATCCAGTTCAATGGGAGAAAGCCCAGACAGAGCACTGAAGGGAAATGAGAATCGAGTGGAATTGCATAGGAAGGCAATAGCCAGGATAATTCAATCCAGACATTAAAGTAAGCACCTTTATAAAAAGAACATGTTTTCTTACCCAACAAACTTTATGCTCACAAACAGCTGTAACCAAATTCAACTAAATGCACTTGGACATAAACAAGGTAAATCTAATGCATTTATTACTGGGATGTATGAAGACTTTATTTCTTTTCCCAGAAGTGCATAACATGTGGTAATGAGCGCTCCAGCTAAAATAAGACTGGCATAGCATTTCATCCCATGTGGGTGGAGTTAAATTTTTAAATAAAAAAAAAATTCATTTTAACATTGACTGCACTAGTAAAGTAGCAACAGAAAACAACTTCAGGGTGTAACAGACCAAGACTTCAATGCTTAAACTTACGGCAAAAACGTGTTTTCAACAGAGAGACTCTTTTTCCATTGAAGTTTGTGTCCAAAACTGCAATTCCCAATCATCTTCCAAATATGGTACTCGCTTCCTGTTACAGGTATAGCTTCAATCACTTTTATTACTAATATTAACGATGGAGAGGCTGATTATTATTTGTTTCACATGTTCAATATTAGTTGGTCGAAATATGATATTTGCCTTTTTAAGGAATTACGGTTTTCAAACTATAGCTAAGGTGCGTATTTCTAATTATCAGTATGTGGCAGGCTGCCTAGTGGAGCAGATAACCTGACTAATTAATGTGGTAGTAGCTTAACAGGGCAGCAAAAAGTATTGTTTTGCGTAAATGCACTTCAGCATTTAACACGTTCATATTTTAAGCTAGCCAAGCAACGTACCTAAAAGTAACTTTCTACGAAATAAAAACAATTAATATTTTCATAACTAAAATAGTTAAGAAGTCATACTTCAAAAGCGTTTGAAAATAAAATTGGGATATTTTATTGTAAATACTCTGAAAGTACAGCACTTCTAAGTAAAGGTATCACAGCGAGAATCTCACGCCAGCCCACACCTTGGGCTGGCGTGAGCCAGTATTTATTTATTTAGCTTTCATCGATGTGAGATACACGTGAGGGTCAACATGATTGGATCCCTCAGGTGGAGATGACTTTGACTTCTTCCCTGCTGCTCTCTGCTCGCACGCGCTGCTCTAAAGCCTGCAGCGGTGAATTGTATAGCTCCCCGGCAGACCGAGACCGAGGGGCGGCTCGGTACGCTCCAGCCCGCCCCGTGGGTGTGTTCACAGGCAAATGGGCCTTCGCATCCACCTGCTAGCGCCCTGCCTCTCCCCCACAGTCACACAGGAGCTTCCAACTTTCCAGCGCTGCACGCACAGCGCGCTGTCGGACCTTATCTCTCACCGCGGGGACTTTTTCTTTTACCTTTTCTGCTCGCTTTTTTCTTTTCCACTTCTCCCACGAGATGTTTGCTGCGCTCGTGCTAGGAGAGCATGTATTCGCCTCGCGCTCTCGGACAATGATGAATTAGAGAAACATTTTATGTTCTCTCTCCCTGACTGCTCACTGACAACTCCGGGGCCAACACGCGCGCGCTCTGCGCAGGTATACAGACGGCCCCGCCGCCGCACCCCTGAACGCAACACGGGCCGCTGAAGAGCCGCGCAGGGATTTTCTATTATTATTGATTTCAGCTTAGAGAAAGAGAGAGAGAGAGTGTGATCGATCTGTTGGGATTGGCTTTTTCAGTGGCTTGCAGGGTTGGATCTGAACTTGTATTACGGAAAGCTGTGAGGTAAGACTGATTTTACTTCTATTCACTTATTGTTTTAATTATTCTCTTTTGGTATGGATAATATATAATATTAAATAAAAACCAATAAATGCGTATAAAACGCTGACTTGATTAAAAATATATGTTTCATGTTTTCCAATATGTTATAATCTCTCATTTCATTCAAAAAATAAGAGTAGGGATTCTGATCGATTTCTGAATGGATTCCCACAAGATAATTTGAGAGTATTTGTTGAATCGCTCTGCAGTTTATTGTGCGCTCTAATACCACACCAGACTGTTTACAGTTCTGCCTCCCATGTGTGGCCAAGGCTGCCAGTCTGTCACACTCTGATTTCAGTCTACAGCTCTTATTTCTCAGGAACACTGAAACATCCCGCCTGGTTTTCTCTGTGTTTTTCTTATTTTAGTTGCAAGTGAAACGCTGTGAATTGTCTCTAAAATTGGAAGCAGCTCTACCCACCGAGCATTAACCAACAGACATGTTATTTGTCTTGAAATAACTTAAACAGGCAAAATGAAACAGTTTGAAATATGAAGCATTGATATGACAAATGTGGTTTTTAATGTGCGTTGTACATTTGATCTTATATTTTCTGAATGTATGGTACTTTCTGAGGGACACGTTTGATTTTGTGATATGATGTATAAATGCACCGATCAGCCTTTTACCAGCTGACACCAATTTCTGATTTACTTTAGGTCTGACCTGCTGATTTAATTTTTTTCTTAGGGCTATAATAAATAGGCTCAGAGATATAGGTGGTCTACAGAGTGAAGATGTTGTGTCTTTCCTGTAACTGTTATAATTTTTTTTTTCTATTATCAAAAAAGTGTACAAAAACTATATATAGATAGATGCATTTAGAAACAGGAGATTGTGTTAGTCCATTGTTTTAATGCATTTAACAGTCAAAACAGAAATTCTAATTTTCAGTGTTTGCCCTGCCCATCAGAGTTGATACGGAAACAAAATTGGTCGATTTCAATCTCTGGTGCATCTCTAGTAAAATGCAAGAGTGTGTGTCCTTCACACAGTCCCCAGTGTTGTTTTGGGGTGCAGCACCCCGTTTGATGTTGTGTGCTTGTGCGAATAAGGACTTGGCCTCTGTCTCCGAATAAACAGCTGGATAGTTAACAAATTGTCGGTAAACAGTTGAGGTTTAAACAGCTGCAGCATGCTCATAAATCGACCCGCGTCTCTGAGGCCCACGCAGATCTGCCGGGGTCTATGAAGGTGGGTCCAAACACTGGAGACTGGATGAACCCAATTAGCCCTAACCCTAAAAAAGTTTAATCAAGGACAGGAATGGAGTCTTTTTGTTGATCTATGAGTTATGAATCAGCAATCACCCCTCGTGTCCATTAGTCATTCCCTGAAGATTAATTGATGCTCCCTTCTGAGTTGTTTTCAAGCCTATTGAGGCGCGCCGGTCAGTTCTTTCATCATTTATAACCCAGCTATCCACTTCTTTCTGCAACAAGTAATATTTATTCTCTTGATTGCACCAATCAGAACATTTTAGAAAAATAATTCTATCTTTCTAGTAATCTTAGTTGTAACCTGGCATTAGGTAAACCTGTAATCACAGGGCAGGAGCGGCAGCACACGTGTGCTGTCATGAGGCAGGAATGCGTTCGGGACGGAGCGGGAGGAGAAGGCTTCTCCCAGGAGAGTTGACGCACTCTCTCTCCACTGGTTTGTCACACTCTGGGAAACAAACATAATTTTTCCCAAATGGAAGTGTGTGCACATCGCTAAAAGCTTGGCTCCCCTTTGTCAGGGCTCATCAGTTTTTATGGTGCCTCCAAGAAAATCTGGGCGTCATTCCTGCACCTCAGCTCTCTCTCTCTCTCTCTGCCGCCCAAAGCAACAGTCAATGGGGCCCCTGGGAGCCGCTGGTTTGACACGTCGCATAAATTGATAAACAAAACCAGACTTTCTGTGGGAGATTTTATGGAGCACTTGGTTGTGCCAGCATCTCCGCTTCTCACATGTTTGTGTTTGTCTTTGCAGATTTAAAAAGAGAGCGTGCCGTTGGAGGTTTGTCCACCATGAGGCTGGATGATATGTGGACGGTGCTCGTCCTCCTGGTGCTGTCCAGCTTGACTTCGGGGAATCAAATCAGCAGCAACGAAGTAGTTGCTGCACCCAGAGTCTTTATCTCCTTCAAAGGCAGGAATCCAATCTTCTTCTTTCTCTCTCCTCATTTGCTTGCTTCAGACATGTCTTATGAAAGTATTTATACCCCTTAGGCCTTGTACCTTGCTACCTTACGACCACAAATTAATGCACTCATAAAATAAAAACCAATAAATATTTGTGAAGTGGAAGTAAATGCAAGGTTTGTGATCTTTCAGCTTCTGACAGGTTTTCCCTGCAGTGTGATTCTGCTCACATCAGGTTTCAGGTTTGGGGTTGTGTATATTGTTAGTTTTCTGCAACAGAGCCTCTATTTCTATCTATTATCTTCTTTTGCTTTCTTTCAACACAATTGTCTTGTAGCCACACCAAGGTTCACATGATAGTTGCACTTCGACAGACCCTCCCACCTGAGTTGTGTATCTCTGCAGCTTCTCCAGGATTACTGTGCTCCTCTTGTTCTCTGTCTGTGATTAATGCTCTCTTTTCTCTGCAGAGGAACAGTCGTGCCTTTGGGCTTAGCAGTTATACCATACACTTTCCATGTCCACATGATGGATTGAAATGGTTCTGTGAAGTGTTTCAAAGCTTGAGATATTTTTTTTTAATCTAAACTTTTTTAAAACTTTCCTGACCATTGCACTGATGGGAGACACGCTGCCTTCTCATCTCCCATCAGTGCTATGTATGGAATTTGTCCCATTGATCTCGAATTTCTCAAGTTACACTTTATCCTAGCCAATCAGTGAACAAAAGGAGTTTTTGAACAAGAGTTTCTGCATTGCTTTAGATTTGTAGTCTGCCTATGGTTGTAGTTGGGCAATGGAGAGAAACCACTCAGTCCGTGTTGGTCACGCTTCCAAATGTTGAGCGATTCAAGTTGGAGCAAGAGGAATGTTTAAGTCATGCTAATACTGGCCAAGATGTCATAGCCCGACTTGGGACACTGGACTTCTTGAGGGATGGCTGATTACAGTACACGCAATTTCCAGCAAGCTTTATAGCGTGCTTCCTTCACAATCAAGTTTGCGCATTACATATGTCATGGTCAAGCATTGGCAATTGGAAAAAAATCTGTTCCAATCATTTGATACGTCAACAGAGTCCATGCCTCCAGCGAACAATCATTTCTCAATAGCCGATGGTTCACGCACTCTGGGAGAAGCAAAGCGTAGAACAAGAGGCTGGTTTTTACCAGGCTAGCTATAAACTTTGCCACAATTTTCTCCATCGTCATGAAGACAACCAATACTGGGTTTTATTTAGAGGTACGCATGCTATTTTTATTTTATTATTATTATTTTTTTTAGAGTAACCAGCTTCAACAAATTTTGCATTCTTTTCCTTTCACTTCACAACTATGCATTGCTTCATCTGTCTCTCGAATAAAATCCCAATTAAATACATCAAAGTGACGAAATGTGAAAAAGTTCAATGGATTGTGAATATTTTCAAATGTTTTGCAAGCGTTTCCATCTGTTTGCTGCTTGAATGAGTGACGATAGACATTGCCTAAATGCAGAGTTTGTGGCTCCGAGTTGTGATGGGTTTTGCATGGGAATAGCGTGTACAGCCTCGTCGGAGCAACACTGAGCAGACCGCAAACAAATCATTAGATTCCTGTAAGGCCCCCATCATCACCACCGACCCCCTCCCACCCAGACCTCAGGCTCTGTAATAACCACCAGATGCTTCCTCTGGCTTATAATCCACAAACAAATTAAAAAACACAATGACCAAGTAGACACAAAGGCGATTGTGTATGACTCCTTAAGACTGTGAATACTCATGACGATTGCTTCTCTTAATGTAAGTGCAGCAGCTTTGCACAAACCAGTACTTGCACCACCAAGGTTGGCGAGTCAGCAAGGAGCGTGCGGTGACCCGCTGGGCCTTTATGTGTTCCCTCCGTCAGGCTGAGGCAAATGTGTATTTCAGGTTTGTCTGTGTGTGCGCGTTTCAGCGGCAGAGCAGATTAGAAGAGACGCGTCGTTAGGGGGTTCTCCAGGGTCCTCCGGGGGTTCGCCGGGATGCCCGGGCAAGGGTTGGCATTACTGAGAGCAAATTGCTGGGATCTGTCGTGCAGAGTGTTGTCCCCAGGACGCCGATCGAGTCTTTGATTAGCATCCAGAGAAAAGGCAGGAGCGCCCTGTTTGCTTTACTCTCCGTTTCCCAGAGCTCCCTTGGTGTAGTGCAAGTTGACTTAATTAAGTGGACTGGCACGGCTCATTGTTAAAGGCGTTTTCCTGCTTTAATCAAGTGGGATTTAACACTTCAGTGAGCACATGTCCAGAGCTCAGCAGATTTCAAACAAACCAAAAAAAAAAACAAATTAAAATGCCAAATATCATTTCTGCCTAATGCAGTGTTTATCTTACAGAAATGGGTTCTATTGCCCTTTTTTTCTTTAATCTTTGAGGCATCTGATTAAAGGAGCTGCAATTTTGGTTGATGTCCGAAATCATTGTGAATATACCTGAAAGCAGCAGACTACAGCGGTGGACTAAAGAAGGGAGAAAAAAGCTCTACTCTGCTGCTTACCTGTGTGTGTTTGCCTCTCTAGTCAATATGAATTTCACAGTCTACTGCTGCTGCTTCTCTCGGAGGAATACTCCCTGCTCTCCATTCAATAATATGGCTCTCTCTGCCTTAATTGCTTTTTGAGAGGCCAGTGTTGTCCTTAGCTTGGCAAGCTTGCTGCACTTCCCTGATGCAACTGTGAGGTGTTAAGTTTAGTTTATTTTTTTCCTCTTTGCTTGAGCTGTTTGGGGAAGAAAAGTCGCTCTGGGGTGCAGCTTTAATGCAGCACAACATGAAGACGAGCATAGCACCGTTTCTTTATTTGTGTGGTGGCATTTACACAAAAACAGAAGAAAAATGTAGAACAGGCGCTACTGTTAATTTATTACTGAATAATTAGTAGCCAAGTAAACAGATATTGCTTTAGATTCAAACGAAAAAGATAGAATTGACATTTAATTTAACAGTTTATGCTTATTGCAGGGGATATTATAACCTTAGCTCATTGTAGGATACTGGGCTAGTCAAATGGGAGATGACGACGCCCCCCCGATTACTTTATGAAACTTGCAAGTTGAGGCGACACTCAATTGTAACTAGCAAAATTCATAAAAGTGAAATTTTAGGCTCGTATACTCTGCTCTGTGGCCATGAGGCAGTTACCAGGATGAAGGAATAGCCAGGTTTGAAAAAGCTCCAGTTTTAAAACCACCTAAAAATATTCCCTCATACAGCTTCTGGGGTTTAAAGTCCTTTTATTGAGATTGCAGATGAAGTTCTGGAGTGACCAATAGTATGGATCGGAGTACTGCAACATTGTCCCTCCCCTTCATGTTGCTGCACAATGCTGGTCAGCTTGCTGAAAGAAGGCTCCTAAATTTTTCATTTCTTTACAAAATAAAAATAAATAAATTCAGCTATTTAGAAATATTTTAGGTTGAGAAAGATGTGGAAATGCCTGGTGTGAAAGCCAAATGAGCGGCACCCATCACTGGTAAAGCAACAGTTGGCGAGCTGTGAGCAGCATGTCTGTTAAGTGGCCATCTGCAGGCTGGAAACACGTCAGGGCGAGTTACGCCGCAAATATCAGCAAAATGTATACGTTACTTTATAAAGAGCCGATCAGCTAAAAAGAGTTAGCACTTCAAAGGTAGTATTTCATTCAGATGGTTTTAGTTCTGCATTTCTGCTAAGATTTATGGATCAAAACAACAAAAAAACAAGAAATTTATGTCAAAAATGGTTATAATTATTGTAAACATGATAGAATATATTAATAGCGGAAGGAGGATGCGTGTTTTTTCTGGTTTTATGTAAATGATCCTCATCACTCTTTACATTTTTTATTTTTTTTAATTAGGTGTTAACATGTAACGTAGGTATTTTTCACTCAAGGTTATTATATAGAGTTTAGATCGGGCCTAAAAATAGAATAGAATATGAAAGATCCGACCTGAGGCCATTGGCTTTGTGTCTGAGCCCGATCTAACTAATTAAGATTAATAATAGGCCCAAGCCTGGAGTAAACCTGACATTTTGTTTTAAGTGACGTTTCATTGCTTTCGTTTTTAGACCATTATTTAAATAAGCGGCGTAACTTCTAAGCTGCACACTCCTCTATTTAGACTTGTGTTAACAAGTAGATGACTTTATGTCACACGTTCTGGTTTCGGTTTCTGTGCGCTGGATATTCTGTGTGCTTATTAGACGAACCACAGAGACTCGAGTCAATCATCAAGCATCCAGTTTGGATTTCAGGTTGAGTTTGCGTCGGACTCGTACCATAAATATAAACTTTATCATATCCTGAGGATCTCAAACCAGCTGATGTCGAAGGCTGTTTTTGAATCATTATTATGTTTTTAAGCTCGTATACTGGATCCTAGAGATCAGATTATAAGTTTTCAGTCAGTCAGGGTTTATTGCTCTGGATAGAAAAGGCAGCAGTTGTCATTGTGAAAGTTGCTTGTGCCACTCAGGGTTGTTTTGAACACATGCTCCAAACTGATTAACTCGGTAGTGAAGGGATGAGGTTAAGAACCGTGACCTCCATCTGGGAAGCCCTCACTTTCCTATTAAAAGCAGGCAAAGTAAATCATGAAGCCTAATTGCTTTGCTTTAACTGCGCAGGCTTTGTTTTTATGACAGGAAAACACCTTTTATTATTTACATAGAACCACCACCCATAAAAACCCTCAGCGAACATAGGAAGCGCAATAAAAATTTGCCTGTTTATGCTCATTTTAATGAGATTACGTGTTTATTAAGTATGACGGATGAATCTTGGAAGTGAACTTTGTTCAGGTTTTATCATGTCTTCTGTCCTAATGAGTGAGTGAGTGAGAGAGAGAGAGCGCTCAGTTTTAAAACAGTGTTTCAAATAAGCAGAGGGAGTGAAGCAAACTCACGGAGAGGTCCACTGTCGCCAGGGACCCCCGGCCCCCCGAGAGGCTCGTATTAAAGAAAAAAAACCTACCTGGACCCTGCTGAGGGTTAACTAGTTTTTCTCCTTC